TAGTGTATTTTTGACGCATATACCCAAAACGTAAATATTTTTGATGTAAATACCCAAACCAAACTTTACTGTGCCATTCTAGGCTGCTTTGTTACATTTGTTTGTTATTACAGATCAACACTAGTAAAAGGAAGCATTTATACTTATCTATAAACATACACTTTAATGTTAACTTACACTTTCATTTTCCAAATACTTAATGAAAATGTGGCTCTGGGCACGCCAAAGTAGTCTGCCAATCCAGATAGGGGTACAGGGGGTCTGTTAGCCTCCAAATCAAACACAGGAGGGCAGAGGACTCAAAGACAGGTTTAAAATCCAGAGACGGATCTAAAGAAAAAATAAAACTACATTAGAGTGAAAATAAAGTCACGCTACTAAAGGTTAGCTAACCAGATGCAGCAATCACCGTTCATTAAAAATGCTCCATCGCAGCAGGCTACACTGATTTAAATAGAGCGACTGTAGTCAGTGGGCCAGCTCGTTTTCTCATTAATTTAAAGTGTAGACATCACTGGATCTCACATGAAATCACTGAAGGATTGCCAGGTGTGAATACCTACCTGCTCTACAACCACACAATCACAAGCAAACACATGTTGTCCACTGATGTCAGTGGAAATATAAGGTGTCTTTGAAGGTTTCCTCTAAGCTTGGAGCTACAATTTAAATCTTGCTTTGGAAGTTAATGAAAAACAAGTTCTTTGATCTCAGTAGGTAGCAGGATTGATGAAAAATGCTGAAAATATAATAATGTCCTGGCAAGAAGACTACAAAACACTAGCCTCAATTTGGGGCATTCTTACTTACCTTCAACAACTGGTCTTGTCCAACGGGGCTCCTGATAAACTTGCTGTGTGCCTAGACTGTCACAAATTCACCCCGAATTCAGAGTCCTAATGATGTCTTTTCTGCACTCCCATTCGCTTCCAAAGGAAACGCAGCTCTGCTTTCATCGTGTCTGAAGCTGCCTGAAAGGATGGTTGGCTTCCACACATTGTTTAGGAAAGAAAGTACATTTATTTAATTTATTGTGTTCTCCATTCATATAGAAAGTACACCGGCAGAATAGAAAGAGTGGTCCCAAGTTTACCACGAACATAGCTTCAGTGCTTTGAGCAGAGGTAAAGCTGATATTATGGCTCCTGAATAAAAGATTTATAGCTTTTTACACTTCCCCGAAGTGGAAATGGAGATGCTCAGTATCTCCTTTCCTACAGCCTTCCCACTACTCTAACAACTCCTATTTGCACATCATAGCTTCTAACTGAGACTTCACAAGGAGACATTTGACACCTGACCTTTAAAAACCTTTTAGGGCTGTAAAATGTACTATTGCAAATGAAAGCACTGCAATTGTCCTACTGTCTGAGAAACTATGATCAACCGGGAGGTATATCGTGAATGGTGGTAGTGGTGTTTACATTCCCACAGAACCAAAGGCAATGGTGTTTCAAGGTTTTGCACACCAAGTTCCTGACCGAGTCAGGTGTCTGATGGTAGGGATCATTTTCCAGAAATCCTCCCACCTCAAGCTGTGATCTTGTCAGATTTTATAAGCAAAACAGCCAGGTCTGGTCAGAGCTTGGATGGGAAACCTCCAAGGAAAACTAAAGTGCTCCAGGAAGCGGTGTGGGTAATTTAGCTCCTGGCATTCTTCCCTCCGTCTGAATAAATATTGAACCAACCTCTAACCATGCTGTTGCAGTAAGAAACATTGTGCTGCTGGTGGAAGACGCAAATCCAAAGGTGTCAGCAAACAGGGTCACTTGAGAGCTCAAGATGCTGTTCGGAAATATAAGATTGCTCATCTTTGTGCTCTTGAGCAACATTCACTAACGACGATGTTACATCTACGTAAAAATCTCTCACTGGTTCAATTAAACAGTGTACCCTCTGAACTCTGTTATTTGCTGTGTTTCCCATCAAAACTGTGCAATTTTTTTAGCAGAAAAGTAAAAGTGATTTTTTTTGACCAAACTTTAAAAGTTCATATTTTTTTGTTTTCTGTTTTTTTATTTTTTACTAAAAGGTCTTGAAAGGTACCTAATGTTCAGAGAAAATACAGTGTCTGATCAAAACCAGAAATGAAAAACAGAAAAACAGAATGCCCCAAGCCTGAAAACTTTTGGAATAAAACAACTTGAAAATCAGGACTAGATCTTCCAGGACATGAGGAGCGGGAACCCTCCGGATGTGTGGCAGTGGCTCAGCACAAAGGAGAATGGGAAACACCATCGGAGATGTTTGCCAGCCAAGAAATCTGCAATTCCTGTGGCTCACAGCATTTCCAAACGGAAATGTTCAGTCTCTTTTCCTGCCAGAAATTTGCATCTTTTTCAGGCAAAAACAACCCGTTTTCTCCCTGGCTGCACTGTTGAGTATGGTTCCCATTTTTAAAAGAGAGCAGCCTTCCACCCACAGGTTTTTTTTCATTTTGCAGGTGGATTTTGCGCAGCCGAAGAAGAAGCAGAGAAATCACACCTGATGGGGAATTTTTCCATTTTCCCAAGGAATCACCTCCTCCATGCAGTTAGAGGTTAAAAATTCATATTTTTTTGTTTTCACTCCTTTCACTGTCCAGCACCTTGAAGGCTGCCAGCAGCGTGAACAGCAGGGTTTAATGACATAAATGGAATATGAAAGGGATGTTTTATAGAATAGCTGAAAATCCACAACTGCTTTATTGCCGATGAAGTATAACTGATGATGTCTACAGGCAGCACTTGCTGGCCTAGATCTATAACTACCTGAAAGGAGGTTGTAGCAAGGTGGGTGTTGGCCTCTTCTCCCAAGTAGCAAGCAACAGGACAAGAGGAAACAGCCTCAAGTTGTGCCAGGGGAGGTTTGGGTTGGATATCAGGAAAGATTTCTTCACCAAAAGGGTTGTCAAGCATTGGAACAGGCTGCCCAGGGAAGTGGTTGAGTCCCCATCCCTGGAGGTATTTAAAAGACGGGTAGACATGGTGCTTAGGGACGTGGTTTAGTGGTGGGCTTGGCAGGGCTGCGTTAATGGTTGGACTTGATGATCTTAAAGGTCTTTTCCAACCTAAATGATTCTATGATTCTATTCTATGATTGAATGATGAGGAATGGGAGGAAAACAGCCGGACACACTCACACAGCTTAGAACTGAGCTTCACTCATTTGCTGTATTAAGAGAATAACAAGTTAGGACTAGATGGAGTGACCTTCACATATCCCAAGGTCAAAATTTAATGAGCTGTTTCCAAAACCCTTCCGTAACAGAGATACTTTTCTTAGACTTGCTGTTGCACATGGAGCTCATCAGTAACCGACAGCAGATAGGCTCGAATTCCAGCCTTGGCATTCACTGCCTAGCTTTGGGAAAACACCTTCGCAAGGGACTCCATCTTCACACGTCTGCTGCCGAGCCAGATGCCACAGTTTGCTAAAGCTCCCTGAATTCTCTAGACTAAAGGAGTGACAAAAGAGCCAGCTAGATTTCTGTGTTGAAGATGATTTTTTTTTATTGCAAATGTACACATTACACTATTGATACCGCACAGAAATTTAAAAAGCTATCGTTTGCTAAAATTTTATGATTACAAAACATCACAAAATTTGTTACAACTAAAAAACCCACCTTCAAGAGTATATAAATAGAATTTTGAGCATAAATAACAGTAACAAAATAAACAGATGTATGTATTCAATAAATTAATTATAAATATTGCATTGGCAATGAAGTGCTAGGTCAGAAGAACACCAGTATTTCCAGTAGAACTTTTTTTTGTATAGAAATCTCTATCATAAATGAACCTTTGGAAACGAGTAGAATCCCTGAACCCTTTCCTCACATTGCTTTTTTTTTTTTTTTTCTTTTTTTCTTTGGTTTCACCTTGGTTATTCCTTCATCAAATTGTTACAATGGGAGAACAGAACTGGAGACATCAGACATCCGCGTTTTGGCCACGAGGTACTCATAACCCCTTCCTGCAAGAAGAACGGCGTGGCTGACCCAGTTCTGCGGCATTTAAGTCACTAAACTGTCTCTCCACTGATTTCCACGGATGCAGAATCAAGCCTGGAAGGGACTTGAAAGAATTGCTGATGGTTAAAGGTTAAACACGAAAACCTGTTTTGCGATCGATTTGACCTATACATCATCCATTTTCAGCCTTCCTCTCCGTTTGCTAATGACACGCATGCTTATATACAACAGAACCTTATTTTAAATGCTAATTTGAACTGCTCATTCCCTACCTGATGAACATAAATGCTAGTTTTGTGCACTCTTCCAACCACACACTGAATCCTCACTAATGTTAATGAGAACTCTCTGCTGGATGATGCTGATCCCACAGTGAACATAAATTAGCCTTTAAAAGAAATCAAAGATCCAGTTTTCCAAAGTACCCTTTAGCAATAAGGGAAGGAAGAAATTTTTACCTGTCTTCCCTTATTTCCTAAGCGAAGAAAAAGCACAATATACAAACAGAATTGTTTTTTCAGTGGTATACTTTCAACAGAAAGTTTTCCCAAAATGTTGTCAGCAGCTTTTCAAGAAACAGCGTTAACTCTAGTTCACATAACCACATTTGCTAGGTTTTTCCTTAATCGTGTTGTGTTCCAAATGTTTGTCTTTAAGGCCTCTGAAGCTAAGAGATCATTAACCTCTCTGTGACTGGAAAAAAGGTTTTTTGCGTTTGGTCCTATGAACAGAAATAACAGGTGAACATACATGGCAATGAAGTTGATGTAGAAAGATTATAATTATTTTATCATCACCATGGTAATGGAGGAACTCTGATGAATCTGTTAAGCTTTTCTTATTTAATCCTTTTCCAAATAAAACCATGGATAGGCAATTCTTTAGACTATAGAATAGCCTCTGGGCACTCATCTCTTACAAGTACAACACATGGCAAGGAAAAGGCTGGCTCTGTACTGAAAGATACAAAAAAGTTCGAAATATCACTACATGAAAAGCTAAAAACCCTGCAGTACTCTGCAATATTTCTTTAAAAACATGTGTGTGTGACCAGAGTCATTTCTGAAAGCTGGGGCTCTTCACCGGCGACAGTTTGGAGGTGATGCCAAAGGGGTCCATGCTGTCCGTTTCGAGGGGCGAGGAGTACACCTCTGGTTCAAACGCCTGGCTGTAATCACCGTATTCACCAAAGTCTGTTGACTCCACGGGCACAGTGTTGATCATAGGTAAGAAGTGAGACAGTGGAAGAAAATCTTTTCCTTTGAACTGTTGTCTTTGCTTGGCACTACTCAAAGACACCGATATTCCGTATTTTTTTGATTTATATACGTTATAGCCGTCTGGACGAATCTCCTCTTCAAAGGAACAATCCTCAGTGGAATACCTGAGCTGAACAGCAAGAAGTAACGAGAATTACAAATACACCCACCAGACTCATTGCATTCAACCACAACATAAACCTTTGATGCAACCAGCCCTTCTCCCTCTGCTGTCAGTGGGGGTGTCCCTCTGGCTTGTCATGGGTGCCCCAATTTGGTGCACCTTGCAGACCCCACTTCCAGATCCATGCTGGTGAGCTGCCCGCTGCCTCTCTGCCTGGCTGCTGCAGGGATGCAGGTGGGACCCACTGTGCTGGTGACTGCTCTTTCAGGGATGGACCACAGCCACCGAGATGAAATGCCCTGAAGTGCCCTGAAGTGGTGAGGCAGTTGTACTAGATGATTGTTGTATTCTATTTTATTCTATTCTATTCTATTCTATTCTATTCTATTCTATTCTATCCTATCCTATCCTATCCTATCCTATCCTATCCTATCCTATCCTATCCTATCCTATCCTACTAGAGCTCCCCACTTTGCACATAGTATGCATTTTGGGTTATGAGGCTGATAAAAGACCTAATCCAGAACTCCTGAAGTTCATGCATATCCATTACGTGAAATAAGCTTTGAATCCTGGACATGTACTTCTCCACAGCTACCACACTTATCCTGTCCTGAGCACAGGGAAAAAGAATCTCAGATGACAGTGCTCATTTAGATAAACTGTCCTTAATTGCTGACAGTACTTAACTGGAGTCACGAGCCCTAACGCAACAATCCTCGGGTATAAAACTGGCTCTATTAGAGATTTTTGTAAGGGCTTCAGGATCAGGTCTGTAGAAAGACAGTACTGTCAAAGACAGCACCTACACAAACATGGCTGAACAGTAAAACGATACTAAAAAGGTAACTGCTGGGGTTTTTTACTCAGCATTTACTGAAATTACAAAAGATCAGTTAACACAGTGCTGTTTTCCCATTACACATTAGTTAGAACTGTCAAATTAATAACAGTGCAAGTTAAAATTTTGTACAGAAGAATGTATTTTCTTAGGTATGAACTTGCCAAATTACATTTGTGATATACTGTACAGATAGTATATTAGGATTTGGTATCACCAGGTCAGCCCTTTCCAGATCCTTACACGGCACTGTATTTCTTACAACTCTGGTGCTATTTCGGGCTCAGCCACTGCAGGTGATTGAACTCACGGTCAATAAAAGACAATTGCTGATTATTTCTCAGTCTGCAGTGATAAAAGTGTCCTTCCACAAATGCTTTGCCTGTCTGAATAGAGAGCATATTTGATACTCTTCAGTCCTTTCTCAAACGCCCTCAATAATATGGAGTACAATTAAGTGCATGCATTTGGTTGTCTTTTAAAAGCACTTTTTAAACTAATCAAGTAATTTTAAAAAAGGCATTTTCTCCAAATAAAATTATGCAATATTTATCTTTCTGCACACGTTATATCTCAGAAAAATACCTGTCTATGATACAAACTTATGGCTGAACTGTTAGCTGTCTTTATTTCTACGAGTGCCCAGCCTCACTAACAAGGATGATGAAATAAAAAAGCTTCTTGAGCAAGTGTGCGTTACAGGTAAGTTATTGATTGCGCCCCCCACGTCTCACCAATATCATTCCCTCTTCATTTCATTGGGATTGTCTCCAGCGTATTTTTTTAAACAAGTACCAAACACACTTTAAGTATTTCCAGATTATTTTTTTCACAGGAGGAATATGTCAGTATATTCAGCAGTTACACGATTTCCCCCTAAACTACAGACTACAGCACATTCAAAAATCAACCCTAGTCATCAGTTTTCCAGTGTTAAAAAAGGGCATGTTTCAGGAGTGCAAGTGGTTGCCGAATTCAGTCCCCAGACACCGTATTTGCCCTTTCGTTTTTCCACTCCTGAGCGTAGCGCTGATAAGGCAAAGCATTGCCTGCAGAGCTGCCTGCCCGGGCTGTTAGCAGGGAGGTGACAGCAGGTGTCCGCAACACAGAGATGTGACGGTGTGGCAACATGCCGTTGTATTTTCAGAAAAAAACCCTGCAATTAATACTACACACCAACAAACCCAGTCTCAATCAAGGCATGTGCGTATGCCTTCAAAACAGTGTCATATGCAAGCTATTTTAAAATTCTGTGACTGCTAAAGTCCAGCCGGCAGCTCTGATGGGAGCAGGATCCAGGCTCTGCTTTGTTTTCATTGACCATTTTCCTTTGGATATACATTAAAACATTAAGGTAATAATTGACCTACCATATCGTCTGAACCTATGCACCTTATCACGGCATCGATTGGTTCTAGCCCAGAAAAGCAAGGAAATTCATAAAGAAAGGCTTAATCCTATGTTAACTATGCATTCAAAAACATCACTACATCAGTACTGCTCTTACTAAAGATACTGGGAGTTTTGACAACGGGCCAAGTCCTTGCCCGATTTAAATCAGCAGAAATTTTGCCAGGGTAATCAAAGCAGAATCAAGCTGTATCTTTACTGTGGCATAATAAAAAGCCATCGCTCTGTGAAACTCAGGCTCCCGTAAAGCAGATACACACAGACCGAATCTAAATCTTACCCTTCAAATTCTAGAGTTGGCAGCTTATTCGTGTGGCTTAAAAAACAAGTTTATATTGCTGATAATGACTAGAAGATACCTAGGGAAAAAGCATGACCTAACAACGCAGTGTCAGCGGGTCGCTGAACTTCTCAACCTCTCGGAGCCCCACAGGTGTGCCGTTATCACAGGTCAGACGTGAGGCAGGGGAGAAGAGTCCTTCTTCCCCTTGAAATCCTATTTCTGCTTGGTACTACCTAAGAGATGGCAGCCCCGTGTTTCTGGGACTTGTACGCCTGGCAGCCATCTGGCTGCATCTCCTTTCCAAAGGAGTAATCTTGGGTTTTTTTTCTACCTGACCTGAACAGTGAGAAATTATTCAGATTCTGTGGCATGACTTAATTTACTTCTGCAACAGAAACGCAGCCACCCACCGATGAGGCTTTTTAAACTTAAACGCAATTTTGCCCTGGATTTTATTTTCAGTATATTTTGGCAGGGGACATTCTTCGCTTTCCAAATGGTGTTTCCTTGCTGCCTTCTAATAATCCCCACGGCCTTCCAGGCGGTAACAGTGACAAGAATCACCGGTCCTATAGAGATAAGGGGGGGTGGGGGGGACCTGAAAGCTTTGTTAACCCATTACCAACCGCAGCGAGGGGGGGGGGGGGGGGACCTGAAAGCTTTGTTAACCCATTACCAACCGCAGCGATAAAAAATAATATGTCAGCCCTTTGGTCTCGCCTGCCGTTTCAGCGCGGTGGCCGGGGTGGAAAACTCCCTCGGGAAAGGCGATGCCGGGGCAGAGCCACCGGGACCGGGGGCATCGCATCTCACCTGCCCGTGCAGCCTGCCCGCCTCGTCCATGCAGAGGTAACGGGAGCTCCGCACGCCCTTGATGGCCACGGTGCGCACCGCCACGGCGCGGATCTCCAGCAGACCTGCGGGGGAAGAGGGAAAAACGGCGTTAACTCCGCGGCCCCGTCCCGCTCCGGTACCGGTACCGCCACCGCC